AGACCAGTCTGGTGAGCACACCATACGCAGCAATGAGTTGCACTCCGGAAGGCGAGTCGACGGCGCCCAAACGAGCCGCGTCGGGGCGATGGCCGATGCGCGGCGCAACGGCGATGCACTCGCCCGGGGCCGAAGGAGCAAACGCGCGCAGATCCGCAATTGGGAGGTCGCACGAGGGCATAAAACCCTCAATCGAGCGATTGGCCCCTCTCGTGAGCGATTGGTCGCGCAGTCGGGCCTGGCAACGCGCCAGACCACTCGGCGAGACGGCCGCTACGCGAGCCCCGGTGGCCCCTTGAACACACGGCGCCACAGGTGCACTCCTTGAAACGAGTGGCGCTAAAACAGCACGCCTATACGTTGACGCGAAATCACGCGAAAAGTACTCATATTGTCGAAAAATTGTACATGTATTCTCTTCAAACTCTATCTTTAAAAAGCAGATTTAATGATCGGAAAAAAATTCTATAATAATATTCTACTTGTAAGATGATGCCGAAAAAATTTTGACCCGGGGCTTCATGTAAAGTACCTCCCAAAATTAAAATAGCAATTTTAAACTCAAGAGGCCGTGACATCGGTGAGATCTATTGGGAAATATCAATTTTGGACAAAATTGGCTGAACGTTTTAGCCGCTAGCGTTGTTCGTGTTTCCCAAAAAGAGGCCACAGAACACCGGGTGGGGGATTGGTTGTCATTCCGGGCGCGTCAACTAATTAAGTCATCGGTCTCGTAAGTGTAACCCATGTTTTTCCAGGATGTGGTGTTTTTCTTTCCCCGCTGGAGGGCGAGATTCGGTGTCGACCTACCGTCCCCTAACCTTTCCCCAACGTTCCCCCAGCCAGCGGGGAACCTATACAACCGGGAGAAGCTCTGAGCTCTTAAAAAGTAATCAAGCCGGTATCCCGGCATGTGTGGTGGTGTAGCGCTTGTGTGTGTGTGTGTGTATGTATGTGTGTATTATGTGTGTGTGTGTGTGTGTGTTTGTGTGTGAGGGATGAGGAGAGGACAAGTAGGAGGAAGGAAATATCATGGACAGTGCGTGGTCGGTTTGTTAGAGTGCTGTTCCGGCGTTCGACTTGTGTTGATCGGAGAAACCATGGAAAACTACCCATCAGAGTTGCAGGCCTCTATAATTTTCCTCCGGTCAGCGACTGAACTCGACCTATATATGTGGCTACTGTCGAAATTCCTGCCATTGCCGAGACTCGAAACCCCCGACCTTCCGGTCAGAGGCGCCGCAGTGATGCTCTGACCCTAAGGAGAGACCGTATCTACATGTCGAATAAAACAGAAGGTCTCTTCGAGGACATTTAGGTTTCAGTAACACTGTACGAAATTTATAACATAAAATCCATGAATACGATTATAGGTTTTATAAAATGGTACGTTTGCTTTAGACAATAGTTTTCGGGGGTTAGAAAATTCATAACTTTCTTTCATCATTCTATATTTTATTGAATATAGTTTATACAATTTTGATTACTTTTTATGTACTGAAATGCAATCTTCGGAACTGAACTTAAACACACTTCTGAATAAGAATGAACGTGGTGTGTATTTAAGAAACAAGACGCTCATAGCCACGTTTCGCCAAGCCTTTGCTTCTGGTTTCGTGCAAATGCTCTATCTCTCGGGGCCGCTCAGACAGTGTAGGGAAATTGGGAGCTCAAATTAAATATGAAATGCTCACGTAACCGTCTCAAAGGGATCCTAAAATGACAGAAGTTTGGGTGAAGCTTCTTCCAGAGGTCGTTTACGATTCTTCCTGCTTGAAGTCGAGAGAAGTCTTGAAGTTTTCGCGTCTGCCATCAAAACTCTGCACACTTTAAAACAATTCGTTTAACACAGAAGGAACTAGATGAATATCAAGAATGAATCGAGAAATCTAAAGTTATAACGTGGTATGTGAAACTCTCAAACTTAATTAACTTTGTTTCAAAGGATAACAGACTTAATTAGTAGGGAATGGATAAGTTTGCTCATATACAATGATGTATTGAATAAATATTGTTGGAAGTACTACAAGCTGTTTGTACGATATTCAGAGTAATATATTATACTTTTATTAAAACATTATGACTCAACAAGTGTTTTCAAAAGAAGTAAAAAGTGTGTTCTATAATCTAACACTTTCCCAAAAGAAGAGATACATTTTTACCGTATATTTTATTAAACATTTTTATGATGAAAATGAATTTGCAGGTTTCAAAGTTAAAAAATTGAATAAAAATGTAATGCCCCAACTACAATATAATTATTAATTTTTACCCTGATAGGTAACCTGTTTTCATATTATGCTTATGATTTTTTACCGGTATAGGTATAATCTATTTTTTAAGAATAATAGAACTTGATCGGAATAAACAGAAACGTTTTGAAATGGAATAATTAATCAGGGCGATTAAAAGTGCGACATACATTTTTTGAACTTGGCGTATTAACCAATTCCAATGTACATATAATATAAATATGTTTTCTTACCTTTTAGCACGGCATTTGAATTTGTCAGTTCCGACCGAATGCGACAACCTTTTTTACGATGCGGTATTCCCTCTCCTTTCAGTAACGCTTGGGTACTGAAAGTGCTTTACTTGAAGCGTTCGAGCAAAGCCGATGACTACAGATCCTGTACCATTGCAAATCATCAATGTTTTAAATATGTGATTATAGCGTGGTTGCATTCTCAAACACAACTTATCCTTTTCCCACATAATCCTCTTCATATCATTTGATGACTATCATCGTTCAACTCTGTTGATTACTCTACCGTCTTGCACGCAGTGGCAGTCAATGAATATCCACTTCTGAAATCCCCATCGCTCAGGAAAGGGAAAGACACAAAGGATAAATGGACAATATGTTTATTGTGCGTCACATCAACAACTTGTGTTATTAGCGACCTCATTCGCAATACATCTACAATCCGATACAATTTCAAACACCTTACAAATACATTATCCTTACGTTACATTGTTGTTTTTATTTAATGTAATACATTAATCACTAGTTGAGCTTAGATCTTGATTAGAGTTACATATGAATTTTACTCTAAACACTATTTCAAAAAAACTTTATATGTGAGTATACAAGTTGATTTCTTTCAGAAATTTAATAAATTTGTGACATAATTCCCTATCTTGAGAATTATTCCCCCCACTGGCGGGAGTGAATGATCAAAGGTCACAACAATAAGTCATACGATGATCACTGCTAAATAAATCATCGCAAACATTCCACTGAAGGTATCTCACGAGGTTCGGTGAACACACGCTTAACTGTATGAGACCTGTAGTTCCTGTTGTCATAAAAAAGTATGTAGGTATATCATCTTACATCTTAATATAATATTAATAATAAGTTTTCTACAAATTCACCAATTATTTTACCTCTGGGGTTAGTTGAAAGACACAAAGGAGTAGTCCTCCCAGCCGAAGCTACGCAGCCAATTATGCTACTCGCAACAACACGTTTCCAGTGAAATCTAAAATGGTCAAGGAAGTTAAGTTACCCAATTAGAGTGAAACGTAAAACCCTTAGAAATACTCGAGAAAGCGAAATTAATTAACAACATAAAAATAAGTAACCACAAAATAATATACGTTCACATTTTTTCATACAAAATATATTTTGCCATGAAATACTTCCAAAGCCATTGATCTGAATTTCGAACATTCACCTCTAATGTTTGAATGCACGCAATTGAAATTTCTCGATTCTCTGGACCTGTGTATTATTTTTATTCTCCCAGTTCCCAGAGAACGTCGTAAAATGTGCAGCAGGCGACCGTGTTGGAAGTTTCATTTAACGCCTTTAAAAATTGAACAGGTTTTGGCGTGACGAAGAGAAGCCACGGAAGCCAACGGGAGTTATCTGTCAGAGAGAGCGCGAACTAGCGAAGCACACTAACAGAGAAAGAAAGGGGCAGAAAGAAAGAAAGGAGAAAAAGACTGGAAGACAATTACTCTTTGATGAGGGTAAGATACAGCGCAACTCCACTCTCCATCTGTACACTTCGCTCTAAATTTTTAATTCGAACAGTTGGTGCATCAATTTTGCTGTTCGTCAATTAGACTCGCACATTAATTTTGTCACCACCGTCTGTTTGGATTTCTATTAACATGTTATTCATCCAATTCATCTTTCGGATTAAAGACTTTCTATGAATCGTCATGCCCATTACAATGTCTTATTTTTTGATCTCTTTCTCTAGTTATATTTTACTCTACGTTTTACTTTTTCGCTACGAAGTAGAGAGAAAGTTATGTAATGCTGTTCAAAAAAGGGTGAATTTTCGGCAAAAAAAACGTGTATTGTCGAGTCCTGATAACGAAAAATGAATAAATGTAGTTGCTAAATATTAAATAAAAATTCTCTAAGAGTGTGGTCTCTAAGAGTGTGGTCTCTAAGAGTGTGGTCTCTAAGAGTGTGGTAAGTGTGGTCAGAATCCATGTCTTGTGGGTCCTTGATACCGAAACATCGATCAACGGCAAAACGCCCGTCTCTTCGTCTGCTTGTGAACAATGCTAGCGACTAAACCGTTCAACTGATTTTCTGCAAACTTTATATTACACAATCGATCTGGCTGACGTCGCGGCCCGTTGAGTTTGAAACCGAAATTTTAATTGAGGGGAGTACTTTACAGGAAGCGTTTGAACCATTTTCAACATTTAGAAAAATGCTCCATTGTTTTTGATTTGTTTAAATTTTGTTGATGGATAGTGTGAAGGACGATTAAGAGAATGGTGCAGGTCTAATGTTCGTTAAAAATACTGATTTTTCGATAATTGCAATAATTCAAATTTTTTCAACAACTACATTTACAGAGAATTTTCCCTTTCATGAAATCTGTTCCCTAAAGATAGATTTTGAAATAATGTCATGTACAATGTTTCGAAAACTTGAGACCTTTTCGCGAATATTTGCGCGGAAATACGCTCTAGAAAGTGCGTGCTGTTTTAGCAGCGCTAGTTGATCGCCGCGCGTTGCTGGCTGGCGCAGGTGGAGCTGAGCATCGAGCCAGGGCAGAGCCTGGGGCTGATGATCCGCGGGGGCGTCGAGTACAACCTGGGCATCTTCATCACAGGCGTCGACAAGGACTCCGTCGCGGACCGCGCCGGCCTCATGGTGAGTCCCTGCGACTGCAGCCTTCAAGGTTAATTATTTCCTACAAAAGAACTCACCCACTTCACCCACTTCAAGCAAATAAAAAAATTGTCTTAACGAAGCTGAATTAGCACAAACAGAAAATGATTAGCAAGAATCATCTCAAACTTTTATAGATACAACCGTTTCAACAGATGCTCCAAATACCCACTTCTCAGTAGGGTCGATACACTTCTCAGTAGTTGAACATAATGATATCTTCGAACACCAGTTGTGTAAGTGTCCTTAGCGATTGCAGCACATACCTTTTCAGCTTATTCTGCATGTGCTGCTAAAGAAGCTAAATGTTTTCTACGGATTCTAGCTACACTGACAGCACTTTTGAAACAAATTGGAATTGTATGTGCCAATTGTATCGATGCCAATTGTGGATATTTGAAGTATCTGTTTCAACGGTTGTACCTGAAAAAGTTGTCTAAGATGATTAGTGCTCATAATTTTCTGCTTATGTGAATTCAGCTTCGCTATGTTGACGTTATTTGCTTGAATACTGCGTATACGTTTGTTGGTAACCTCTGTTATATAAGTGGTAATGTGTAAATATATTGTCGTAAATATGCAGATTTAACTATCTAATATCTTTTTAAGCACAGATAATTTCAGATAGTGAAAAAATACATCACCGTATTCTCTTCGGTTACAAAAACAAATGATTTCAATGACTTTACTGAAAAATGCTTCGTTTCTGCCCCAAAATTTCTTCACAACTTCTTTACTTCTATAACACCTTGCTTACAATGAACCATTCTATAGATTATTCTCAGTGTTGTCGAAGACATAAAACTACTTTTTTCGGATATGAACTAAGAAAAATGAAACTTTGTGAATTGACGAGATTAGGGTAACGGGATGCTAATTACAAGAGTTCTGTAGAACGTTCCAGATTTTATATCGTTAGAACCTTTGACGGTGAAAATTCTGCCGCCGTCAGAAGTCAGTCGACAGTCAGAATTCTAATGCTGTTCACGATTGGCATTAATGGCCGCATTCCAGTTCCAAAAATCACTTCGAGTCTTGAAATTGCGCGTAAAGTTACGAGTATAATCATACACAAGCCGCGAATGGAACATGGGAATATTATGAAAACAAAACTCTATGCTTTTGAGGCTAACATGGGAAGGAAATGAATTAATGCTTGTATTTTGAGAAACACGCTCGTAGAGTTTTTCATACCCAAAAGACTCACCTGCAGAGGTAAATACACCAAACATACTCGTAAGAATATCAATAATATCCTCTAAATATATTGACAAACGGATTACACATACTTTAATCATTGAGAAAGTCAAGTTCACTAATTATTAAGTTCACTTAATATTGATAAATATTCACCAACAATCCAATTAATCACTTACTATTTTTTGTAATCAATGGGTTCCTTATTTCACCTATTAAGCGCCTGTTTATTTCTGTTGTTGACTCCCCGCCCCAATTGACCCCTTATTGTCCGACAATAACGTCATTCAAAATTTCATCGGCCCCTAGGGGATAGATACGGTTTCCATAGGGAACCTCTCGTCTAACCATTACAGTCGCTTCAAAATCTCAAGCACCGGATTTTCACCTCCCTGTGATGTTATTCGGGACTTCATTACTTTCCCGCGCTCTTGTTCTCTTAACAAGTGGTGACTGGGTGAGCTTCAAACCGTTAACGTACTTGAAAACCTGAAACACTGGATTGTCACTACCCCCATGATGTCATGCAGAGCTGCATTTTTTGCCACGGTTTCGTTTTATCAATTTGGGTGTGCGTTTGTTTGGGTGTGCGGTTGTGTGAATGTGAACCTGAACTGTTTATTTCCATTCTTCTGATTGTGTAAAATTTAACACCGTTTTCTTCTCTTGTCATCAATACTTACAAGTATAACTTGTAGAAACCTATATCTATTCCCGTAGAAACTAATCTAAACAGTTTTGTTATTATATCATACTGAGGAAAGCAGTGAACTAAATATTTATCGATTTTATAATATGTCATTCTATGTAGAATAAAACTGAAAACAATGTTTGTCCAGTTTATACGTCATAGGTTGCATATGTTAGGTAAAAGTACTTATTTTCATAACTGAACAAGATTAGAAATTAGTAGCTTACTCACTTTCATTTGAAAAACCGAAGTCTAAAATGTGAGTAGCTTTTATATACTCCTATAATGAATATATTAACGTCTGTTATATTATTTTATTGTAATGGTTTCATGGCCTTAAGAAACAGACTCAGTATTGTGTATAAATATTTATTTCTTTTCATACAGTCATTACCTTTCGACCCTATTTTTTTTCAAAAATCGTGTGTCCAGGTTTGTTGCCACCACATTATAAGTTAACATTTTGATAAAAAAACTGGTTCACCAGTTGCCTGGATAAAGTTTACGTCACGACCAGGTTTTTTATAACAATGACAAATCTTCTTTTCAAAATGCTGTTTGTTTATGATGTGGTGTCAACAAACCTGTACCCTAGAGTTTTTGAAAAATATCCCATATGGGGTCGAAACGTCATGATTGTATAACAATAAATAAATTTTTTGTACTCTCTTCTATCTCCATAATCGATGGCAATTGCATCCTTTTCTCGATCGGATATTTTGCAAGTCATTGTTCCGATGATTCTCGTAGATTTGATATGAAACAGGCGCGAGCGTGCAGGAGTGCGAACCGACGGCTGTTGAGAGGAACCGAGTCGGGGGCCCGAATCCCGAAATCCACGTAGATCAATTACGCCCAACCGTTTCCATGGGAACGGCCCGGCCAGCCGCCGATCGAACTCGGCCACGCGGCCGCCCCGGAGAGGAGAGTGGCCGTTCAGGGCAACCCCCGTCTCTCCCCGATCGTGCGTCGAGGAAATGATTTTCATCATTTTCAATTGCAGCAAAAACGTTCATTCCAACTATTACGACAAATCCCAAATACTCATTGGTTTCAACTTCAAAATATTCAAACATCTAAATACCAAGCTTCTAATCACCGAAATTTCGAACTCTCAACTTTATTCAAAAAATAATTTAGACATATTCATTACATATTTGTTGTTAGTAGTCTATAACATTGCGTTCTCATCTATTCTCAACATGATGTTACTCAAACACTTACCCGGATATCTAGAGGCCAGCATCAACTGTTCGTTATAGTGACTTCTTTACAACAGACAATTGTTTACTACAACAGCGGGTGCGTCATACTTTTAGTATCTGTCGTCTGTCTTCATGGCTTGGCCACATTACTGTAAAAATATTATGATCTCAAGATAACTGTAATTTATTTGACAGGGCGGGACAAATATATACCAAAGCAAATTTGTTTCAAATCTACTGCGCTCAATATAACCGCAACAGCGTATGCACACGAATATGCCCGCGAGTTTTTAAGGCCATTAAATTCAGATGAAGTTATATTGGCACCCACCAAACATTCCTGTCCGTTAGTCTGGCTTGAAGTAATTTAATAAGAACACTTCAACCTCACACAACACTTCTCAACACGTCACTTCACTTCACACACACTTCACAAGTTTCAATACAAGAAAATGTATTGTTCGTGAAATTATAAATCCAGAGTCAATCGGTAAATGTTATCTTCTCCGCCACCGCGGTTAGATCGTTGTCGCGATTCCCTACTAAATAATCACTGATTCATTTGCTGAAGTGCCGTTCTCAAGGTTTCGCCACACTTCAAATACACTGAAGTTGCTTCTAATTGTATTCTAAAACCAGAATGTCACGTTCATATTTTTGGTTTACATTCAGTCGTTCCTTCTCTCACCAACTCTATCTTGTCCTCCCCACAAAACTCGCGCCCATGTTCCCTCAATTGTTTTTACCACGAGTTCATGCAACTCATACCAATGTATATTTTCATTTAGTGAAAAGCTTGAACACTAAAATCTCAATATAATCGTGATTAACACAAATGTGGCCATATCATACGCTGAGCACTATACTCATGAAAAATATACACTCGTCTGTAAAAAATATTAATACACTGAATAACTTGCACAATAAACTGAAAAGTTTACCCCACTTTGCAAATTCTGTACAAAATCTAGGTTACCTCCACACAGAAAAGTTTACTAATAGGATCCTTCATATCCAGTACTATTAATTACCATAATTTTACATATAAATTGTGAATTCTGACCAGTGGCGACTCCTGGCTAGATGACATGGGGATGCGATTATGATATTGCAGGTTGAAGGAATAGTTGCAAATATTTAAAGATTGCGTCATTCTACTTTACTCTGAAGTATTTTAAAAATTCCTTTTGCAAATTAGATATCTTCTGATTATTTCTTGAAAATTACCAATTTTGCATTTCATGCACTAACTTACATTAACAAAACAATAAAACAAAAAAAGGGAACCGTAGAAAAGATCATACCTAATATTTGAACTCCAGATCTATTCGCTGCTGTTTTCTATCAGATACAGCGATCACGTCCTCTTGAATTGAGAGCTCGACTGAGGACTGTCCAACAATACATTTTGTTTTTAATCTCACACCCGCAAATTAAATGAACACTTTAATATATCTTACCACTAAAATAACGAACACAATTCTTCAGTTTTGTGGTGATATTTAATAGTTGTCCATCACTAATTGAACTAGGTTTTTTGGAATAGGAGAAAAAACTAAAAGAAATTTTAAGAATACCGTCTAACAAGCACAATGAAACGTTTCACTACTGTTACCTCCCACAAGTAGCTACGCCACTGCAACAAATGAAGAAACAAAACGAGCTTACGATGTCGCGTCCTTTCACACACAAAAAAGTTTTATTCTTTTCGAATTCACGGTTCTCTTTAACGGATCAGTAGTTAGATAACGCAGTCTATTTAATGCACATTAAGCACGAAACAGAATTTACGCTACAATGCACGACATACACAACGAACGTAAAAACATCGCACGCACTGTATCGATTTCACGGACTGTACCTACCGCCGTCGTTTAGTCAGGTCTGCG